AGGAAGGAGAAGAATGAGAGGGAGGGATGGAGGGAAGGAGAAAGGAAGGAAGGAAGGAAGGACTGGAGGCTTTTAAGAAGAGATTGGATAACCATTTGTCAGAAATAGTACAGAATCTCCTGCTTGAGCAGGGGGGTGAACTAGAAGATCTCTAAGGTGTCTCCCAACGTTATTTCTGACTTTCATGTGGAGCTAATGGTGGTGTATTGATTGTGCCGATTGGCAACGTCACAGAAGGTAGACAAACAAGCATTTGGCCATCAATAGCTGTGGTGCCGAGGACCAGTTAGACTCCTTCTTATCAAAGTTCAGAGGTGGGGACTTCGTTTCCCAGAATTCCTTGGCCCACCTTAGCCAGTACTGAGTTGAGATGCACAAATACAGATGTAGGTCTGGGTTTACACTACACCATTTATTTTACCAAGATCTGCTGAAAATCTAGTGTGGCTTGGCTCCCACATAAAGCTTAAGCCATCAATTATGGTTTATAAAAGCACGCCGAGCCAAACCTTAACCCTAACCCTTTTGGCTTCACTCAGCATGTGAACCAAGCCACAAGCAGCATGAAACTTAACCGAGATCAGCTAACACCAACACCACCACCACCCCCCAAAAAGACAGAGACCAGAAGAAGAATAGAGAAAGAAAAGCCAAGGAGGGGAAATCCAAAATATGGGCCAGATCTACAACGGGGAAATTGAGGCAGCCAACCAAATCAGCATTGGTCCCAAATGCCAGAAAGAAGGGAACTGGGTTCATTCAACGAGCCTCTGATTCACTAATAACTGCGGCGCTACGCCCACCCACCGCAGCAAAAAACAAAAGTCGTTTAAAAGGGGCACAACTCTCTTTAACAACTGCCTTGCTTAGCGATGGAAATTTGGACCTCCGTTATGGTCGCTTGGGGGGGGGGGGGGGGTTGGACTAGATGACCCATAAGGTCCCTTCCAACTCTGATTATCTGTTATCTGTAAGTCGAGGGCAAAGCTTAGGAAAACCACCTTACGAGACCTAAAGCACGTGCAGAAAAACCGAGAGGGCTTTAGAAGGGCTCTTCCCACACATCTTCCCCCCACGCACCTCCTTCTGTGTTTGTGTTGGTGTGTGCTTGTGTGTGTGTGTGTGTGTGTGTGTTTGGGCAAACACCCCATGCTAATTGAAGTCTTATTTAAGGGCATCGCCGGAGCTCAATGTTGCGAGGAGTTATTGAATGGGGGCAGCGCTGGCCCTCGTTTATCTCTCCGCAGAAACTACTTTGTCAAACCAGCGTCTCTGTGGCTCCAGGCAACTCCGAAAACAGGATAATAAATAGTCTGCGGCTGAAAAATAATTAATCGCTACCCAGAGTCCAGTAGGAACTGCAGCAGAAGCGGCTTAGTGCAGCTGGGAGAGCAACCCTTGCTGGGGAAGCCGTGCGCCATCATTGGAGGCCGAGCCGCGAGCTGCAGGCAAACTTACCTCAGTGCACATGCGCGCGCCTCATGGTTGATTTTTGGCCAGTTTGAGGCCTTTTTCGCCCTCCCAAAGGCTTGAGGAAGGCTTCTGCAGGCTTCTGTAGGCCGAAAACTACCCCCGTTTCGTCACTTCCCATTTTTTCGAAAATACCAGAAGTGACGAAACGGGGCTAGTTTTCGGCCTGCAGAAGCCTTCCTCAAGCCTTTGAGAGGCCGAACAAGGCCTCAAACCGGCCGAAAATCAGCTGTGAGGTGCAGTGCAGGTAAGGGGGTGGGCGGACGGGTTGGTATTCGAAGACTCTTGTGTTGTAAAATATTTCTTATCTGTGATTCTTGGCAGTCTCGTACAGTTTTGGCAAGGCTCGTGCTTATTAAAGTTAATTAGTTAATTAGCAGCCTTTTAACCGGGGATTCGTAAGAATCATTAAAAGGTTTCTGTTCCTTTTGGTTCGTGTTTGTTTTATTGGAAAAGGATTTGGGTCAGAACACTATCCTACAGGTAGTCCTCAGCTTATGACCACAATGGAGGCCAACATTTCTGTTGCTAGGCAAGACGATGGTTAAGGGATGCGTTGCCCGATTTTATGAGCTTCCATGCCACCGTGGTTAAGTGAACCATTGCAGTTGTTAAGTTAGCAACACTGTTGTTAAGTGAATCTGGCTTCCCCACTGACTTGTCACCAAAAGCGATGGTGTGACCCTTTTCGTGTCCCTTAGGAGCAAAAATCTCCAGAGTTGAATTGGCCCCTTTTTCTCGCATTAGCCAAGATTCCCGATTATTAACACTAGATGGCGGTATTTCCCCACCTTTCAAAAACAACCACAAAAAGGAACTTTTTTTGGGTGGGGGGGCACGAATTTCCCTCTTCCCAAAACTAAGTCTCCTAAAAAATCTGGTCTTAAACCGTGGCGGTAAACCGAATGCAATCGAAGATTTAAAATTAAGATTTGCCATGCTTACCTTGAGGGTCTTCACCGCCACGGTGAGGTTGTACTTCTTCCAGACGCCTTCGTACACCTCCCCGTATTGTCCGCCGCCCAGTTTGTGCTTCATTGTGATGTCCGTCCGTTTGATCTCCCACTTGTCGTAGTTGGGAGAGACCCCGTAAATGGTGGGCTTGTTCCTCTTCGGGGCGGGGTAGTGGAGAGTGATGATGAGCCCATCGGCCACGGTTGAGTGGTGGTGGACCAGCTCGGCCAATGTGTTGAAGCGGCTTTCTGACGAGACGTAAAGCTGGAGAGAAGCAAAGAGAGAGAGAGGTGATCCCAACCGTCTTCGGAGGTTCCTCATCTACGATGATGATGGTGGGGAGGTTGGCCGGTGAATATAAGTAGCCCTTGACCTACGACCACAATTGAGCCAGAAATTTCTGTCGCTAACCGAGATGGTTGAGTGAATTCTTTTGTCCCATTTTACGACCTGCAAGTTTTAATCTAACAATGGCAGCTAGAATCACTGTCATTCATACTCTTTCCTTTTATATGACATGTTATTCCCCGTAAAACACGTTATGGGTTTTTGGTTTTTTTAATTCTTCTTAGGAAAGGCCTATCTTTGATTTAAAAAGCCACGTTCTGCCTTCTTTTCCCCTGTGGCTCATGTCAACTTTTACAAAAGATTACAAGATGTTGGATGGGTAGCTTTCGATAGAGGTTTTTCCCCCAAAAAATAATCCTGCAGGCTCTTTCAAATACTGATAAAGCGACAATATACTACACACCTTGAATTTTAACTTTCTTGTTTCCCTTCTTCCGTAATCTTCACCCTGACTCTAGTTTATAGTCCAAGGTAGTCCTTGACTTTTAACCTCCTTCCTTCCTCCTTCCCTCCCACCTTCTTTCTACCTTCCTTCTTTCCTCCCTCCCTTTCTCTTCTTTCCTTCCTCCTTCCACTTTCTTTCTACCTCTTTCTTTCTTTCCTCCCTTTTCTTCCTTATATTTCCTTCCTTCTACTTCCTCCCTCCCTCCCTTTCTCTTCCTCCCTCCCTCCCACCTTCTTTCTACCTTCCTTCTTCCCCCTCTCCCTTCCTCCTTTCCTTTCCTTCCTTCCACTTCCTTCCTCCCTCCCTTCCGGCAGCTGTAGGCCGGTTTCCAGTTATATATGAATACAGGCCCCTTTTAGCAACCAGAGGGAATGGCTGCTCCATTATATATGATTAATTCAAGGCAGTCTAAATGATTATCAGTCACCAGAAAATGCAGCTGGCCAAACACGAATTATTCATCCGTAGGCTTCTAGCAATAGGTTCCCTGTCATGAAAAAAATCACCCTGAGAGATAAGGAATACCAAAAAGAAGAAAGAAAAAGCAAAAAGGAAGAAATTTAAATCCCGCCGTCATCAAGCCGCACTTCCTGAAAGACTCCTTAGAAGGTACATAGTTACAATTCTTAGGGAAACCACCGATGTTCCTTGACTTACAACTGTCCGTTTAGGGACCGTTCATGCCACTGACAAAGGGGACCTGTGACTGGTCCTCACACTTATGACCGTTGCAGCGTCCCCTGTGGTCACGTGACCAAAATCCGGGCGCTTGGCAACCAGCGTGTAATTAGGAAGGTTGCCAAATCTCTGGGTCTTTAACTTCCGATAAGCAAAGTCGATAGGCAAAGCCACATTCGTTTTAACAACTATGTGATCCGCTTAACATCCACAGCCAAAAAAGAAAAAAAAAGGAAAAGAAAAAGGATTATAAAATCAAGCACGGTCACATAATGAGTCACTTAACGACTGGATCCCTTAGCAACGGAAGTTCCAGTTCCAACTGCAGGAGTTAAGGACTGTCTCTACGTACGGCTTCTTCCTTGATAGCTTTTCGATAGGAGCGATTGAAAAAACAAATGACATATATTTAACCTCGTTTGCAATTTCTCCTCTCTTTTCCGTGCCCTCCTGACACTTTCGCGAGCGGCTTCCGCCCCGATTCCCCAGCCTCCAAAAAGGGCTATATTTTCAACTCTGGCTGTTATTAACTTGTCTGATTAAATTAATGAACGCCGTGATAAGGGAAGGTTCTTCACAAGCGAAGAGCTGCCTGGCTCTACCTGATTTCTCCTGGCAAATCCCAGCCGGGATACGAGACCTATTTTATCAAACAACTTCATATTGTCTCATACGACGGCGGCGTGGATAATGGGTCCAACGAGAATCTAATTCCGCACCGTTTCCTGGATGTTGTTTTTATTAAAAACCTCCAGCTGATAAAAGTGTTCTGACAAAAGGCGCCGGTGGACGTTTGGTGCGAATAAAAATCCCTTCGCTCTTATCTCTTCTTGAATAATTCTGATTAAAACAACTTCGGGGTAAGGAAAGAACCATTAATCTGTTCAGTAAAAAGCCTCTCCAGGCATTTCCACTGAGGAAGGATGGACTGGCCTCTAGTGGAAGAAGGAAGCATCGGGTGCTCCTTTTAGCAAGCTCACCCAATATCATGCCCTTGTTGGGGGTCTGATTCTGAGGGGGAGGTCGAATAGCTGACAGGGAGTGGGAGTGTGGCTCCGGTGGCTGTGGAGGAAACTGGGGAAGGGCACAGTCCGGCTGGGCATTCAAAGGATGACCCAGGCCCGCCCCCTCTTCTGACATTGAGACCAATCAACCCATGGAACAAAAGTTGCCTTCGGAAGTTGTGGGAGCTTCATCCCTGGAAGCTTTCAAGAAGAGACTGGACTGCCATCTGTCGGAAATGGGGTAGGTTCTCCTGCTTGGGCGGGGAGGGGTTGGACTAGATGACCTACAGGGTCCCTTCCAACTCTGTCTTGCTTGGCGACAGAAATGTTGGGCCCCATTGCGGTCGTAAGCCAAGGGCTACCTGGAAAGAGTTTGCGTTGATCTGACACCATAAAAATGAAAATGGGAAGAAGCCTCCATCTGAAAAGCACCCAAGTACATAAAACTGGTCCCTTGTGGTGTGCTGGTTTTTGACTGGACAGCTTCACCCCAACTCACCTTCCCGTCTGAGGCGGTGTTGATCCGGTAGTGGTAGACTCTCCCCTCGTATCTCAAGGAAATGGATCTTTGACCAGGGCTGCTTTCACTTTCCCGTACCAAAAAGCTGCCATTGATCCCACTGCTGAGCAGGTACTCCGCTGCGTTGCGGGACACCGGGCCGTGGTACCACGAGTGCTTTTCCAAGCTGTTGACGGGGGTGATGTAGTTGCTGGGCACCCAGCCTTGCCCATTCTTCGTCTGGGCTTCGCACCATTCTCCGTTGTGGTTGTAACCCAAGACGCGAAGTTTTTCCCCTTTTGGGGAGAAAAACACAAACAACAACCACGATCACAACAACTCTGGGAATTGTCGGGAGGCTACTTGGAGAGGGCGGTTCACAAGAAGCAATTAAAACACGGTGAAAGAGCGAAAGAAGGGAATGTGTCCAGTTCAGGGTTGAACTGTGGGGTCCTTGGTGGTCTCTGAACTCCCAGGCCTTTCATGGCCCAACTAGATAACCTAATCAGTGCTGGTTTGTGGAGGAGGAAGAGGAGGAGGAGGACTTTGGGGTCTGTGGTTTCCTTACAGACATTTCATTACCCAACTAGGGAACCTCATCAGTGCTGGCGGGGAGGGAGGTTTGCAGAGTGGAGGACTGTGAGATCCGTTGTGCTCTCTAAACTTGATTATTTTCTTGTAGATGTCTCATTAGCCAACTAGGTAACATCATCAGTGTTACAAGGGAATGGGGTTTGCCGAATGAAGGAGGAGGCTGTGGCTTCCTTTATGCTCTCTAAATCTTCTTTTCTGTGCAGACATTTTAGTACCCAACTAGGGAATATCATCAGTGCTAGAAGGGTTGGCTCTTGTTTGATATACAGTGGTAAAATAAAACAGCAACCCCTTTTTTAATAATTAAAAAAGATCAACCCTTAACTGCTCTGTCAGGGACACTGGAGAGCATCCATATGATGCCACAGGAGCCAAATTTTTCCCTTTTTCTTTTCACTCAAACAACTCCTCTCCCTCCCTTAATGCAAAACCAAAACCAGTTATTTGTGATCTGGGAAGGATTTGCCTCCAGCAAAATCCAGAGGAGCAGCCACTATTCTAAGGTGATTATTGTATGATTGTACCAGCAATCAACAAGTAGCCGGATAAAACAGGGGCCTTTTAAAACCCCGGGGGGGGGGGTCCCAATTTTGTTTTTTCCTCTGAACTTTTGCAGGTTCAGCCGGAGGTCAAAAACCCTCCGGGTGACAATTTGTGCACGATTTTAAGAGAGGCTGCCGGTGCTTTTCTTAACATGAAATTTTAAGAGCATTTTCTGAACGTGAAATGCTCTTCAAATTTCCAGGTGAGCTAAAAAAAGGAAAAGGGAAACCCGAACTTGACATCAGATAAATTCATTCTTGCCAAAAGTAAATTCCTTCCCCGAAATGCCACCCTCTTCTCTTCCTTCCCGTTTGGGCTTATCCCCGTGTCGAGGACTTACTTACCTTTAGTGATGCTGAGAGTGTTGTCTCCGCTGGCGACGAAATCGTACAAGGCCACAAAAAGATTGGGATCATTTTCTCCCGGACCAGAAAGGAGGTTTTCTTTGGAATTCCAGCGGGCAGCTTCGCTGAGACTTTGGGGCTCGAATTCGGAGGCGACGGGCCGTTGAAGCGCTTCTAGTAGGAAGAAAAGTTGAAGAAGAAAGAAAGGAGGAGAAGTGAGATCATGTTCTCGCCCGAGGATTTGAGCTCTTGCTCTTCTGTTCTCCCGTCGGCTGAGCCTACCCACGTTTTTTTTATTTATTTATTATTAAAAAGAAAGAAAAAAATTATCAGAAAAGCACAACGGAAGAAAAAGCGAAGGAAGGAAAAGGTCTTGCAATGACGAAGTGAATCGGTCCATTGTGAGGCCTGCACAATGCCACAACCCTAGGGTATATTCACGTGAATTCTCTTGAATTCAATTCGAGGGGATTGAATGGGATTCCCCTGAACAAAGAGGGATTATTGGAGAATAGGATTCCATGCAGCCTGAATGCAACCCAGCATTGAAAAGTCTGAATTGCAGAGTATCTGTATGAATACTTAACTGGAAAAAAGGGAATGTTTGGCTTTTTGTACCTCACAGTTCTTCCCTCACATACTCTTTCTCTCTCCTTCTCTCTCATTGTTTCTTTCTCCTCTTTCTCTCTCATTATTTCTCTCTTTCTCTCTCATTGTTTTTCTTTCTTTTCTTTCTCTCTCCTCTCAGTTTCTTTCTCTTTATCTCTCCTTTTCTCTCTCTCTCTCCTTCTCTCTCATTGTTTCTTTCTCCTTTCTCTCTCTCCTTCTCTTTCATTGTTTCTTTCTCTTCTTCTCTCTCATTGTTTTTCTCCTCTTTCTCTCTATCCTTCTCTTTCATTGTTTCTTTCTCCTCTTTCTCATTTTTTCTCTCCTTCTCTCATTTTTTTCTTTCTTTTCTTTCTCTCTTCTCTCATTGTTTATTTCTCCTCTTTATCTCTCCTTCTTTCTCTCTCTCCTTCTATCTCATTGTTTATTTCTCCTCTTTCTCTCTCCTCTCTCACTGTTTCTCTCTCTCTCCTCTTTCTCTCTCCTTCTGTTTTTCTCTCTCTCCTTCTGTCTCATTTCTCTCTCTCTCTCTTCTCTACAGATCAAAGCCATTCAAAGCCCCCTCCCCCAATAGCTTGTATTTCACTATTTGGTGTGCTGAGTGTTTCTCTCCCCCCCCCCTTTTTTTTTAAAATCCACAACCAGCCACTTCAAGTCTTGTCAAAGGAGCCGAACAGGTGAGGAAAATGTTTTTAAAAACATAAATTAATGAAAGGGGAAACTCTTTCATGCCTGCTCGGATTCTAAGGCAGGAACTTAAGCATTTGTTCAACTTGCAAGATCCATGTTTACAAACAGGGAATCACCACTGGGAAGTGCAAATCATTTCCAAACTGTTTGCAGAATAAGAGCTTTTTGATCTGTTCCCCCCCCAAAAAAAACTCTTCAATGTTAATATGGAGGAACCAGAAGAGATTCCAGCAGCATTCCTCGAGGGTCCCAAAGCCCCAATTTATGCAGATTCCCATGACAGGTAGTTCTCAACTTACGGTACACAATGGAGCCCAACATTTCTGTTGCTAAGGCAGACAGCTGTGAAGTGAGCTTTGCCCTACTTTATGACCTTTTTGCCACCGTTGTTAAATGACTCACTGCTGTCAAGGTAGTAATAAAGTCATTAAGTGAATCTGGCTTTTGCATTGACTTTGCTTGTCTTTCCTTTTCTTTCCCTTCCTTCCTTCCTTTCTTTTTCTTTCTCATCTTTCCTTTTCCTTTCTCTCTCTCTTTCTTTCTCGTCCCCTTTCTTTCTTTCTTCCTTTCTTTTTCTTTCCCTTCCTTCCTTTCTTTCTTTTTCTTTTTCTGTCTCATCTCTCCTTTTCCTTTCTCTCTCTTTCTTTCTCATCCCCTTTCTTTCTTTCTTTCTTTCTTTCTTTCTTTCTTTCTTTCTTTCTTTCTTTCTTTCTTTCTTTCTTTTTCTTTCTTCTTTCTTTCTTTCTTTCTTTCTTTCTTTCTTTCTTCTT